TTTGATCCTCATGACAATTCTTGGAGATTAGTGCTATTATTATCACCAGGAAACTGAGGCAGACTAGTTAAATGATTTGTCCAAGGTAGTCCCCCAGACTCCAGGTCGGGTGCTCTATCCACTGCACCACCAGCTGAACATGTAAAAGGGAGGAGTCTGGAGAGGAGTGACAGTAAAAACAAGATTAATTTTTTAAAATAAAATAGTTTTTAGAGATTAAGAGAACCTACATTGCGATTTTTTCCCTCCTATTTAGCTGCTGTAGCTTTGTCTAATAAAGGAATGTTTTGGTAGAAAGGGAAAAAAAATTATTCCTTCTAGAATTTTTACAGGTGTGTGTGTGTGTGTGTGTGTGTGTGTGTATGTGTGTGTTCTTATCTGATAATCTTCAGGTTAGGTAGGACCAAGTTTATTATCCCTTTTCTTTAAATAAGGAAATGGCTCCAAGTGTTGTGACAAGCCCAAGATCCCACACTTGTCATTTCCTGCCGTGTCCCTTCCTTCTCTCAAAGAAAAACAGTTAAGCAAAATCACTGCTCAGCCTCTCAGTTCTCTGCTGGAGAAGGAGGAAGTGCTTCCTCATCTATTCACTAAGAACAGGATTGGTCATTACAGTCTGAAGATGGATGTGTTTTACTGTTAGATTTTCTTAACATTATTGTAATAATTGTTTTCCTGACTTCATCCTGCATCAGTTCATACAAGTCTCATGTCTCTGTTCTTTGTATTCATTGTTTCTTACAATGCAATAAAATTTCATTAGAGAAGTAGCGTGACTTGGACTCAAGGAAACCTGAGTTCATATCCTGTCTCAGATAACTTAGTAGCTGTCTTATACTAACAAGTCATTTAACCTGAACCTCAGTTTCCTTATCTGTAAAATGGAAATAACAGGGTTATTATCATGATCAAATAAGATAATGTGTGTAAAGCATTTTATAAACTTTAAAGTGCCATTAAAAGTCAGCAATTATTATATTCATATACTATAGTTTCTTCAGACATTCTTCAATTGATGAGTATCTATTTTGTTTCAGTTTTTGCTACTACAGAAGAGCTGCAGTGAATATTTTTGTATCTCAGGGATTGAACTTTCTTTCTGTCTTTGATTTCTAGCACAGGTCTGACTATGTCCTTCTCCCATTCAATAAATTCCAGTGGCTCCTTATTGCCTCTAGGATCAAAAGCAATTTTATCTTTTTGGCTCTTAAAGCCCTTCTTCAACAACCTGGCCCCCAACTTACTTTGCAGCCTTTTATGTATATCCTTATCCTCATCACTCACTTTACAGTCCAGCCATGTGGACCTCTTTGCTGTTCCTCACAGGTGACATGCCATCTCCTATCTCCAAGCTGCAAGTGCATTTATTTCTCATCTCTGCTTCTTGGAGTCCTCAGCTCAAGTGTTGCCTTGTAAATGAAACCCTTTGGGAATCTTATCCTTTTCCTAGTGCCCTCCCCCACCAATGACAGTAAATTTGTCTTGTATTTACTTACATATGTACATTTTGTTTTTGTCTTTGTATCCCCACTGTCTAGGTCAATGCCTTTTACAATGCAGATACTTAATAGTTGTTGGTTGATTGATGTGTGTCTGGTATTGTCAAAACCAGGTGACTCATTGCTCTTTCTAGCCTACCATCTGCATTTCTACATCCTTTTGTAATATAACGCATTATCTCTTAATGGGAAAATTGTGGAAATCAGAAGTTGAGAGTCCCATGGTCCAACATATGTGGTGAGTATAGCCTACTTGATATTTTTAGCAAAAAATTTAATCTAATTAGCTAGCTGGTAGGCCAATAAAACTTAACCAGCTGCCCACTCTTCCAGCACTATTAGTTGTCTTGGATCAATTAGCAAGTGTAAAAAATTGATATGACCCACATGCACAGATTTCTATCAAGCAGCCTGCTATTAAAAGGACTTTAATATCCCTTGTTTAGAGAAAAAAAATCCAAAGAATTAGGCAGATGAGTGAATGCTTTGTTTTTTAAGCATTTAACAAAGGCAATCAAAATAGCACTTGCTTTTGATAATGTATACTGTATGCCACATCCATAGTCCTCACCCCTCTCCTGATAAAAGGAGTTTGTTTCCTTATCAGTTCAAACAATTTAAAATTGTTTCCTTATCATTTCTCCAGTACTGAGAATAATAATTACTATTAATCAAGGTTCAAGTTGTTTTTTAGTGTTATGTTTTACATTATTGTCATCATTGTGTATATTCTCTTGGTTCTACTTCACTCTATTACATCATAGAAGTCTTTTGGTGATTCTCTGAATTATTTCATAAACATAACTTTGTTATGGCAACTAAAAGCCCACTTTCTACAAGAAGCTGTTCCCAACCCCTTTTAATTCTAGTGCTTTCCCTCTGCTGATTATCTCCAATTTGTCCTGTATATAACTTATTTGAACATAGTTATTTACATGTTGTCTCCCCCATTAGACTGAGCCTCCTGCGAAGAGACTATTATTTGCCTTTGTGTCTCCAGTGCTTAGTGTCTGGCATATAGTAGGCACTTAATAAGTAAATGTTTATTGATTGACTAACAATAATCTATTATGTTCTCATACCACACTTTATTCAGCTATTCCCCAGTCAAGGGATACTGATTTTCCTTCTAGTTTTTTGCCACTACAAAGAGTGCTGCTTTGAATTAGTTGCTGATACCTGAGATCTTTTTGTTTTTGTCATAGATCTCTTTGGGGCATATACCTAATAGTAGGTTGCATGATTTTAGGTTATAAAAAGGTTAGTGACTTGTCTTGAGTGAAGCGCCAAACTGTTTTTCAGAATGACTATCAATTCACAGCATTATTAATATACAGAACATTAATATTCTGAATATTAATGTACCTTTTCTGTTTCTTTTTAAGATCTCCTCACTTCCCCATTTGATGGGCATGAGGAGAAACCACAGAATTGTTTGAATTAAAATTTTTCTTATTTTTTTCACACACTCCCCATATCCAATCTCTTGTCAATGTTGATTTTACTTTTTCGACATTTCTTGCATACATCCCTTTCTCTCTTCTGACACTGCCACCACCTTGGTGGAGGCCTTCACCACACTCCTGGCTTGTTGCAATAGCCTGCTGGTTGGTCTACCAGCTACATGTTTCTATCTATTCCAGTCCATCCTTTACTCAGCTGTCAAAATTATCTTCCTAAAATGCAGGTCTGACAGTGTTGTACCCCACCTCCCCCTCCCTAGTCCAGTGGCTTTCTATCTCCTCCAGGGTCAAATATAAAATTCTCTGTTTGCCATTCAAATTCCTTTATAGCCTGCCCTGCCCTCTCTACTTTTCCAGTCTCCATACACCTTACACCATACCCACTACCCTCCAAGTACTCCAGTGCAATTCAGTGGCCCTGGCCTCCTTGGTATTCCTCAAACAAAGTATTCCATCTCCTGACATATCCCTGGCTGTCTTTCATGTCTGGGATATACTCTCTCCTCATTTTTACCACCTAGCTTTCCTGGCTTCCTTCAAGTCTCAGCTAAAATCTAACCTCCAAGAATCCTCTACTAATCCCCCTTAATGCTAATGACTTCCCTCTGTTGATTATTTCAAATTTATCTTGTATATAGCTTAATTGTATATACTTGTTTGCATATTTTCTACCCCATTAGACTGTGAGCTCCTTGATAGCACACTGGCTTTTGCCTTTCTTTATATCCCCAGTAGGCACTTAATATTTGTATTGCTAGTTTTAGGGGCATGATTGATTTAGAACAGAAAACTGCTTTTCTGGCCATCCTCTCTTCAAGTGGAGTTTGGGATAGAAATTTGGGCTGGATACGTAGATTTGGAAGTCAAATGAGATCATTGAGAAAGAACGTATGGCAAGAAAGAGGAAAGGGACCCAGAGAAAAACCATACAGTGACAGTGGTATGTGGATTACTGCTGCTTAATTTTTATCGTCTTCTCCTCCCTGCTTAATTACTTTGTATTTATTTATCTCTTTTTATTTCCTCCCACAACCCTCATAATATAAGAACCTTAATCGTGTGAGAATTGTTCATTTTTGTCTTCATATTCCTAGAACCTTGCATAGTAATCTGCATGGTATGTAATTAAAAATATTTATTGAATGAATGATTAACTCCTACCATATTCACTTTCTGAAGCTTATCTAGTCTGTCCTCTGATCTACCAAATACTTTTGAGGACTGCCCACTGAGGACTCAACTGGAACTGACTAGTTGAGTAACGCAGTCCTTCTGTCTTCTCCCCTTCCCCTGCCAAAGGAATATAAATTTTGATCACTGAAACCTAGCAAAGTATCTTCGGTTTTAAGGACTAGACTTCTTTTTTAAGGACCATACCTTAAACCCAAATCCCTAGGCTCTCCTTGATTGGCCCAACAATAGGTCCCAGCCCAAGCCCCACTTGGTCATTGTTTGGGCCCTGATAGTCTCAAAGTAAATGTAAGTAGCAATTGTTGCTGTTTTGGCCTTCTTCCTCTTCTTCCCCTTCTTCCTTTTCTTTCCCTCTCATATTTTTTTTTTTTGGTCAAAGGCATTACTATGCCTGTATAAATCTTTGATTTTTGTTGTTTTTGATAATTGTTTTCTTAATATTGAATCATCGTCTTTCTAGTATCAATAAAGTTCATGAAATGATTTTTTTGGATACATCACTAAGATTTTCTTTAAATTTTTTGCATCAGTATTCATTAGTGAGAATGGTTTACTCTTTGCTTTATCTCTCCCTGTTTTGGATTTATCTGATAAAAGTAATTTGTCATGGGGCATATTAAAAGGTTTTGTAAAATAAGTGTGAGCACTTCTTTGAAAATCATGAGTGGTTGAAAGTTGAGGTGCAGACAGTAGTCATTAGGAGAGAATTTTTAATTTGGGGTATAGTGAAATAATTATTAAAGGAATAGACTTAGTCTAACTCAAAAATTGTTTTCTGAATCTTTATGCTGCAAAGTGCAAGAACAATTTTTAAATGTGCATTTTTGGTTTTTTATCTTGAAAACAGATTTCTAACAAGAAAAACAGCATTATTGCGTCCCAAACTTCATTGTCTAAAATGAAAATACCTACTCCACAACCTGTAGTGAAGAAAGAAAAACGCCTAAGTAATTCAAGGTTTAATGTTAGCAATAACAGAGAACTACAAAAACTACCAGCTTTAAAAGGTACTTTTCATTATTTTTATTTTGTTAATGTTTATCTTTTAGGGGAAGGAAAAAAGAATGTTAATGATCTTTTCTCATCATTTGTAATTCTTTTTGTGTTTTGTAAAATTTCCTTCTCTCAGTCTCTTAGACTGAATTAAAGTGTTTCTCTAATTTATACAATATTTTAAACTAATTTTGGCAAAAATGTTTCTCAAGTAGGTAAAAGCTGAATAGCTACTAAAGATGAAAATATGATCAGAAGTGTATTGTTTTATTACAAACAATATTAAGAAGAAAAGTAAGGATTTTTTTGGTACTTCTCTTGATTTTTTTTCCCTTATGGACAAAAGTGGATTATTAAGGAAAATTTAAGATTATCATTGGTGGTTTGTAAGAACAATGGAAATCTATAGATTTGTTTTCTCAAAGAAGAAATGTACTTTCATACATCATTAAATTTTTAAAAATCTGTCCTTAGTACTTGTAACTCATAATAGTCTTTTCACATTTGCAAATAGTTCTGCCAAATTGTTTTAAGATTCTGTAAGGATGGGGCAGCTAGGTGGTGCAGTGGATAGAGCACTGGCCCTGAAGTCAGGAGGAACTGAGTTCAAATGAGGCCTCCGACACATAACACTCACTAGCTATTTGACTCTGGACAAGTCACTTAACCCCAACTGCCTCACTAAGAAAAAAGTGTAAAAAAAAAAAAAAGATTCTGTGAGGATTATAGAAAAGTTTCTGGGTTAATTCTAACAGACTACTTATTTATTAATGGTTTGAAAGTTAAGTAGAACTTCATTTTTATATAGATTGATGTAGATATATATATATATTCATGTAAGAAAACAAGAATAACACCTGCTTTCTTGATGAAAAATGTATAATGTATAGGGAAGAAAATACTTTCAAGATTCATTTCATCATGCTGTCCCTCACTAGCTTGACTAAATAAGCACCTCGAGATAAAGACAATCTTTACTTTGAAATCCCTCAGTATAGTACGTGTATACACATTCTATTCAAACTATATTGAGGAAAGAATAGGTAATGGGTGCAAACAAGTTTTTTAACTTAATTTTCACATACTTGCTAAAACATTATTTTTGGAATATGTAGAACCCTACATATTCAACAACTGTTGGGTTTTGGTTTTTTTTTTTAATAGATACCTTCTCAACTAGACACTCCCTACTGCACGTGGTTGTTGGGAAGAAAGTGCTTTGTAAACTTTACAGTACTGCAGAATTGTGAACTGTTTGGAGAGATAACAATGACTGGTCACATTTATGTAGTACTTTAAAACTTACAAAGTACTTTCTTCACAACTCTTCAAACTTACAAAGTACTTTCTTCACAGCTCTTCAAACTTGTTGATACAAGTATTACTATGTCTACTTTGCAGATCATAGGATTGATCATATATTTGGAACTGGAAGGAACTTCAAAGATCGCCTAATCTAGCCCCCTCATTTTACATGAGACTTATAGTCAGGATGTGATCTTATTCGGCATCCCAGTGGTTAAGTCTGAGAGAGGGAGCAAGAACGAGCACAAGTGCCACCTGTGTAGGCGGCTGTTGTAATAATATAGTTGAGGGATGAAGAGAATCTAAACTTAAGGGGAAAGTGGTTGTCTATGGCAATAAAGAGAAGAGATCAGACTCAAGAGCTGTGGTGGAGGTAGAGATGGCAGCATCTGACACTGATCAGAGATGTGGAATGAGAGAGAGGGAGGAGTTGATGATAAAACACAGAATATCCTAGGAGATACCTGGGATATTGGAAAGCTGGTATTCCCTTTAGTAGAAATAGAGAAATGTGGAAGAGCAGAGGGTTTGGGGGCAAAGATAATGAGCTCAATTTGAACATGTTGAACTTGGGATGTCTTTGGAATATCCCATCTGAAATGTCCATCAGGCAATTGGTGTATACAGGACCAAAGCTCAGGGAAAAAACTGTTGCTAGAGATGTTAATTTAAGAGTCATCTGCATAGTTAATTAAACCCATGGTAACTGATGAGATCACAAAGAGAAAATGTGTATAGAGTAGAGGACCCCAAGAAAATCTTCAGGTACACCCATTAGTGCCCCCATAATTTGAGGGCATGATGTGGGTAGTGAACCAGCCACAGGAGATTGAGGAGGAGGAGGAGTCAGACAGATAGATAACCTGGAGAAAGCAGTGTTGTAAAAACTCAAGAGCATATAGGAGAGCCACAATGTCAAATGAAACAAATAAATTGAGAAGGATTAGTAGTGAGAAAAGATCAGATTTGACAATTAAGAGATTGTTGGTCATTTTGGAGGACTGTTTTGTGATGAGGGTAGAAGTAAGGTTGCGAACGAATGAATGAGAAAAAAATGTGGAGGCAATAAGTATAGACAGTTTTTTTCCTAGAAATTTGGTTGAAAAAGGAATGAGAGATAGTTTGAGGGCATGGTGAATCTAGTAAATGTTATTTTTAAGGATGGGGAGACTTAGGAATGTTTGAAGGCAATAGGGAAGTTTGAGTAAGAGAGACAAGATTCAAGAGTGGGAGGGGTGATTGAGAGAGCAGTCTGCTGGAGAAGATGGGAGGAGTTGAGATCAAGGGCACAGGTAAAGAACTGTTGTTGGCAAAGAAGAGAGCGACCTTATTAAGAGAGACTGGTGATGAGGAGAGAAGAGAGTAGGGGATGATTTTAAGGGGTTTGACATGAAAAGAAAGGGAGAAGAGGACCAGTGACCTCAATTTTCCCAGTAAAGTAAAAGGTAAGGTTCTCAGCTTAGAGAATGGGGAGAGAGGAAGGTATAGAAGGCTTGAGGTGAGAAAAGAATGAAATAGTGAGGGAGTGAGATAGGAAATCATGGAGGAATTAAAGGATTCCCTTGCCACAGTGAGGGTCCAATTGAAGTTGAATAACATTAATTTATAGTGAGTCTAATCAGCACTGTTATGTAACTTCTTCCAATTCCTTCAGCATCATGTGAATAGAAGGTTATGATTAGATAGAGAAATGTCAGCATTCTTGATTGAGGAAATAGAACATTTACAGATAATGGTTAGATCTTAGGGTGTTACCAAACTTGTGAAAAGCACAAAAAAATCCTAAGTACTTCTTTTGTTTGCTGTAAACAATCTGGTATTTTTTTTTTTTAGCTCAAAATAATTGTTGATAGTATGAAGTTCTTTGTATAATGAATTGGAAAAGGCTTTTTTGTTTATATTTCTTAATTATTCTTAATGTATTTTTTTTTTCAGTATGACATAATGTCTAGTCAGGCGAGTTGAATTTATAAAAAGTACTTACGAAAATTTTACAGTGATCAGTATTATTGTATACTTGTAACATCATAATATTCTAATGGTCATTAAGGAGGTGATTATACTGATTTGAAGTTGTCTTACTTGGGTGAAATGAAATTGTATCCTGTTATTTTGGTATTTTAGGATACTTATAGACACATTATAAAGTAACAAGTTTTACATATTTATCCATTTATCTTCCTACTTCACTTGTTTACTGTTTAAAAAGTCATTCTGGCCTTGTGGTCTTATGTTGAAAGTTTAAGTGTGGACATCAGAATACCAGGCAACCTATTTTTAGCCATACGATTGAATTGAATTGCCTTGACCAAAGTACACATGTATAGCCTGTTGCAATTAGGTTTTGCCTTAAAGACTTTTTTCTTAATGAATCAATACAAGTAATAGTTATACCCTGACAGATTCCATAATCTATATGATTTTTTTTAATATTTACTTCAATACCATAAAGATTCTTGATTTTGTCATTATTAGTAAGCACCTTTCTCTGCTTCCCTCTTCAAACAAATGCACATGTTGCAGCCACTCAAGCATTTAATAGAGTGGCTGTTGCAGAAAACCTTATCCCTTGCTGCCAACCTGATGACTAGCCTCTTCAGATTTAGTTATGCTGGTCCTCCAGTGACATACATATAATTTATGATGTTTACTAAGGATGTTTGTGATATATTAATCTAGAAGGGGATGCATAATATGATCAGAGGATCCCATAAATAACATACCATCTGTATTAATGTACAGAAAAGAAAAGGCTTTATTAAATCTTCCACATTTTCTTTTCTCTTGACACTTTCTTTGACATCAGCTTCTGACTTGCTTTTGGTCCTCATGAATAACACAGGATGAGGTGTTGGGAGAGGGGCAGTTTGCATCCCTGACTACTTTAGTTTTTAGTTTAAATGTTTTGTAAATTATGGCCTACATTTAAAAAAAAAAGCTCATATTTATAAAAACATACTTAGGGAATAAATATTAAAGCTGGAAGGGAGACCTGCAGAGATGGCCTAGTGTAATCTCTTCATTTCACAGGAAATCAAGGTTCATGGGGTGAATATTCAGGAAGGCTCTGCCACCATGCCCACCTTTCTTTTCTTTCTCTCTTACAAATTTTGAAAACAGTCACTTCTCCCCCTCCTACAATTTCTCTTCTAGCAACCACTTTTTTCTTATTGATGAGGATCAGATCTAGTAGTTTCCCTTCTTGAAGAATAAAGTTACCATTAAGGCCAGGTAAGAAATTATTAATTGCTTTGCTGGGGACAGAAAGCTCTAACACATGTCCTGATTAGTGGAATTCTGTCCTCACTACTATATTATGCTTGCTTGTCCGATTTCTGTTTCCCAAACATTTCATTTATTTCAGTCTTCTCTTTAAAATGTCAGTGGTAGAAAGAGTAAAAGCAGGGACTTGCTTGAGCTCTCCCCCAAACCCCTCCAAATACTGTAAAAAAATGACTCACCAAATTCTAGAGTGGCAGAACCCACAAAAAGACAGTGAAACAAATTTCCAGCCCAAGACAACTTGGAAGGTCGACAGGAGAGGTCTGTTGCACCAGGTTGAGAGAGGAATGCAGTCCAGTGCAAGCCATGCCAGCACAGCCCCGGCCCCAGCAAACCTGGAGCAGGCCGTGGGGGACTGAATCACTGGCAGCTGTGGCAATTTCCAGACTTTTCAACCCACAAATACCAAAGACAACTTAGAAGGTCA